TAAATCTTAAAATAAGTTGGAAAGTAAAGACTACAATGAAACATTGTCATAGATTTAGATGGGGGTACCTAAAAATCTTGAATCAAATTATTTTTGTGAGTACTTCAAGATTTCAAAATTTGCGATGCTCATGTAGAAGCTAAATCTATGTGGGATAAAGTAACAAATCCTATTAAACAAATTGTAAAAGAATGTACTTGAAGAATTAAAATGATATTTTTTTATAAATAAAAATAATTTTTGATGAAATAATTATGTGCAAGAAAAGATAAAAATAAATTGTGTTACAAAAAATAATTTAAATGTAAAAACTTAGAGAATTAGAAAAAATATAAGGTGACCCGTAAGTAGTAAGAACAATTTGCGACGCTAAGAATTCTGCTTTTAGTGATCTTTATATTATATTACATACTAATGAAGGTGAAAAGTATGTGTATAAACTAGTCAAACAAAGAACAAAGTAAAGACTTGATTCAAGTAAAGTGTATTAAAGATGAAAATAAAACGTGCTTTTCCTAGAGAAGATATTCAACGTAGGTGGATGAACTATTTTGATAAAATTTTCAACAAGTTTTTGAAAATACGATTGACTTTAGTGATCTTAATTTCGTTAATAATAATAAAATTTTTTATTTTTACCATCGCATTAGTAAAAAGAAAGATGAGGCTTTAAAGAAAATCAAGAGTGAAAATTTAGTAGAACTTGATAATATCCCAATTTAAGTTTTCTTGGCCTACTAAAATATGTCTAAGAAGTGAAGGAAAAGTATTTTGGTCCTCATTTTTAAGAATAACGGTGACGCACAAGAGTGCAAATTATAGAGAAATTAAATTAATGTGTCATACTTTAAAGTAATGGGAGAGGATAATTCAACATAGGTTAATACGAGATGCTAAGATTTCTCATAATCAGTTTGGATTAATACAGCATAGGTTAATATGCGATGCTAAGATTTCTCATACCTTTTTATATGCTTTTCGCTGATGATATTATTCTTATGGATAAGACCAGAGAAAGAGTTAAGTAAAAACTTGAATTTTGGAGGTCTGCATTGGAATCTAAAGGCCTTTGTTTGAGTAGATCTAAAACTGAATATATGAAATGTAATTTTAGTAGTAGTAACTCTACTGACAGAGTTGTAACTATGGGTGATGTAATAATTAAAAGGTGTGAATATTTTAGATATCTTGGTCTATTGTTCAAAATGATGACGATATAGATAGGGATGTTATTAGTAGAATTAAAGTTGGTTGGTTGAAGTGGAGCAATGCATCGAGGCTATTGTGTGATGGAAAATTACCGCATAGACTTAAAAGAAAAAAAAAATTATAAGGTGGTGGTGAGGCCTGCAATTCTTTATGGTGCAAAAATGTTGGCCTTTAGAATAACGGTGACGCACAAGAGTGCAAATTATAGAGAAATTAAATTAACGTGTCATGACTTAAAGGCAATGCAAAATGAATCTATCCATGAAAGAGTGGGCATTGCTCCAATGCCACATAAGATTAGATAGGGCCTTCTTAGATGGTTTGGCCACATTAAATATCTACCATATGATGATCTGGTTAGGAGAGTAGATGTTTTAGATTCAACTTATGTTAAGACAGGCAAAGGCGAAACCAGGCAAAGACGAAACTAAAAAGATTTGGGCACATTGTATAATAAATGATCTTAATCTATTAGAATTAAATGAAAATATGACACTTGAAAGAAAATATGACACTCAATAGGACACAGTGTAGAAAAAAGATTTATGTAGCCGACCCCACTTAGTGGGATAAAGAATTGTTGTTGTTGTGTTGTATAGTTTTAAGGCTCGTGCGCCTCTTGTGTGCTTTGCAATTTTGAGGCTCACGAGACCTGCTGTGTCTTGTGCATGTTTTGATCGTGTTCCGTGTTGTCATGAAAGTGTTCACACTAAAAAAGTTTGACACAATTTTTGAAATATCATGCATATGTTAGGGTGTATTAGTCATGTTTATGTCCAACACACATTTGACACAGACATTATAGCCATATGTAAGCATCAAAGCTTCGTAGTTTTGATGTATTATCGTAGGTGGATATTCCAAAATGGTATTTTAGTCTTGTTTTTAAAGCTCATTAAATTAAAATTATTTTTTATGCTCAACAATCTCAACTTGATTAGGCCAATTTAAATTCCACATGAGCTGCTCATTTATGATTTAAAAATAGTTACTCATTTAAAGTTCAATAATCATAAAATGAATTAAGCTTGTGCTAAAGCTTAATTCAAACTCAAACAAGCATGAATTGAGCTAGAGCTGAGTTTGAGCCGGGCTCAAACATATTTTTTGGTAAACAAGTTCGTGTTTGAACAATTTTTGACTAAGCTTGACTCAACTTTGTTTGTTTGCAGCGCTACAAATATTAATGGTCATGTTGATTATAAGAAAGCTGTTCAATATGAGTTTATGCTATATATAAATTGTTCTCCTGTGTGCAACGATGTGTAGGTCGGTGGAATCCGTTTTGACTAGTTGGGCCGATGGGGCTATCATAGAGGAACAATTTTATTGGAAACTATTGGATTTTTATGAGCTGGTGTTTATCGTCGTTGTTTTAAGGTGTCTTGATAAAATTGATCTTGGATTTGTAAATGGATATATTATTCAATGATAAAATATTTTTGAGTTATTTGTGGATATGTATGATTATAATATCATATTGGTTTCATATGGATATAGTAGTATAAAAATGCATTGTTAACAGTTTATTGTACAGATGGTCATGGTCCTCACCATAATATAAATCATATTGAACATGTCACTCTCTATCATGTAATGCGAATGATAATTTGGTGACACTTAATATATTGCTATTATTTAGTAGATTGTGCTTTTTATCTTGTGCATGGCATGTTTCCCTATATTTTGTTTTTTATGCTTTAATAAGAGTCCGCATCGACATTGCCATCTCATAAACTCAGCAACTAAAAACAAGGAAGCCCACAATGGGGTAGTCCGTCAGAAGTGCCGCTATGTAGCCGTAATAAGAAGGGTATTGATTGAGATTGCGAAATGATTCAAGTGAACCGACCCTGATGAGTGTTCGATATGGCTTCCTGATTCTTTGCCACTTAGGAAGAAAAAGCACAGGTTTGAGTGTGCAAGCGGGATATGAAGCATGCGAGCAGTTTGGGCAAGGGCAAACTACCTATTAATGCAGTACAGCAGTAGAGATGGAGTAGGTTGCCTAGAATTTTATGTTGGCGAGGTAAGAGACCTCACAAACATAGGAGAGAGTTGTAATCGAGCCTTTAATTGTTCCTGAATGGATATTTTCCGTTACACGGGTAAACTTTTGGCCTGCTATCTTTACGTGTTTTTTCCATTTGTATGTTATTAATTTACTGCATTTACATTGCAGAGTGGACTATTTAATATTCAACTTTTTTATGATTCTAGTTAGGTATCAGAAATTATAATGGTAAAGTAACGCTGCAGCCCAACTTCTAGTCGGGGCTGTTCAAGATATGCTGTGTGATGCTTTTTAGTCAATATTTGTTGGTGAGGTTGTTTCTTAAGTTAAAAGTTGGGCGGTTGAAGTTTCTTCACTATTTGGGTCGTTTGCTTGATTAATTTCATATGCTTTTATTTTTTATCATCTATCAAATGTACGTTGGGATGTTGTGTTATTTGATTCCATTGATAATTCCTTAAACCAATAATTGGTGGATTTGATCATCATTTTGCTGGATTCGCTTCCCTCAACCAGGGCATAACAATTTGTCACTTCTTCTCTTTGGCATGGCAAGGCTTACTTTTGAATGGCACACTAATTTGCCTATTTGTGCCTTCCATAACATTCTCTTAGAGGATGATTTTGTATAAAATTTTGCTAGTGTGTATCATCAAGTTACATAATGATTTAATGATGGCTGTGTGATGCTAGTTAGACAATATTTGTTGGTGAGGTTGATTCAAGTTTAAACTTAGGCGGTTGAATTTTCTTCACTATTTGGGTCGTTTGCTTGATTTGAATGTATTGAACAGTATATGTGTTTATTTTTTATCATCTATCAAATGTATGTCGGGATGTTGTGGTGTTATGAGATTTCATTGATAATTACCTAAACCTTTAATTACTTGATTTGATCTTAATTTTGTTGGATTTGATGGCCTCGACCTGGTAGGTTGTTGAGCCAATTCTATCCAAGTTGATAGGGAGTATACTTTAAAACCTTTCATTTTTATGAATTGAAGAAGTGCTTCGAGGTTATGGAGTATACATTTTAATGTTTTTTTGAAGTGCTACTAGGTCGTGGATTATTAAGTATGTGATGCCATTATCTCATAGTTGTATTTTACTGATGTGCTTATTTCTGTATAACTTTTTTTTTTTTCGATTGTTGTGATATCTGACTTATTTCTTATTTAAGCTGTTTGCTTTAGGGTTTGTCCAAAAAACTGATGAAAACCGTCGAGATATATTGATTTTGTTTGGAGATTTTAACTAAAATAATAAGTTATTCGAGAGTATACAATAATTATCTTTCATTTATCATTTAAATGTCAACTTTGTCTGCTATTGTTGCATCTCCCTTTGGTTTTTAAATATATATGCTTGAATATGTAAATTATTTATGGCCATTTCTGTTGTATATATTTAGGTACTATTTTAACCATTCGAGCATAGATTTTATACTTTGTCAACACCAAAAACCAAATTGGAACAGTTCATTTGGTTCGGTTTGGTTTAGTTACATATTTTTATAGTTTTACCAAAACGATCCATACCTTACATTTCTCCCTAAACTGATTTTTTCTGTGTCCTTTAATTTTATTTTCTTCAATGGTTGTTCTTTCAGGAAATCAAATTAGAAACTTCTGATGAGAATGCTTCAACATGATATGTAAAATGATATTTACCTATAAATCTAAATTAATCTTTTTTTAGATTTGTTTAACTGAAGCTCTTTTGCTTTTTTTTTTTTTTTTGAAGATATGTGCTCATATTCTTTACATGGTAATGACAGGTGTGGTCTGTTCTTGCATATATACAACGTTTGGTTTGGCTACGTCTTGGACTGACTTGATAACAAATGCATGATATGTTTAAATGCATATATTCTTGCAATTTGCATTATTTTTTCTTCTTAATGAGTGATTCAAGTTTGCCACCGATTACTTCTATATATCTCTGAGATTACAGATACTTGTGACATTTCATCGGCACATGCACGAACTGATAAATGTCCTGAAATTATTATTGTAATCTGTATGTCAGCATTATTTTGGATGGTGAATTATGTTGATCTGTACTAGCATTGATGATTTAAGCCATCTTGGAATTTGTAATTATTTGCATTTGAATGCAGAAGATGACCCTCTATGTGCTGCACAATTCTGAGAAATTTCATTTTTTAGTGGCTCGTACTGAATCTCATTGATCATTCTGCACCTTTAATGACGCATGTTCTTTGGGCAGTGATTTATTATTACAAATTGTATCTTGGGAATTTATGACATTGGGTGTGGCTCCTTTACACAGCATATTGAATGTGAACTGGCAGCTGGGAAAAGTGGACAAAAAGCTTGACCATCTTTTCTGGTTTGTTTGTTTCTATGAAGAGCAAGGTGTAAGCGTCACGCATATCAGAGCCATGAGTTCAAAGATCATTTTTGTCACCTGGTTTAATCAGAATCATTTTTGCAATGTTAATAAACAACAGTTTAGCTTTAAAGCTCTCTAACAAGGGAAGGCTGTATTTTTCATCCATTGCATGGATGCAAGGATCATTTTCTTCATCAATGTTAATTCTGATAATATACTTGTGTAAATTTTTTTAGCTGTTTCTAGCTCTCACATTTTTTGGGCAGTGCTGTAGGATCTATTCATAGCAACCAAACGCATTGTAATAATTGAGAGGCTCTTTGATGCGACTTCCGAGTTGGTTCCGGTGATACCTGGGTGGAGACTCTGGCATGCTTACTTTTTTTTTGTTATCTTACAACACTTAGCAGCATTCTTAAGCTTGAAACTCAGGCTTATGCTGATTGCAGAGTCACTTAATCATTAGGAGCTTTTACTGTGCTGTAAACAAAATGGTATGTTGAAATTAAGTTCTCCTAATATCATGTTCAATACATGAAACAGCTAAGATTGGTAAGGTATCTACAAATGTGATTCTGTTGTTGCAACAGTTTATTTGAAATCAGTGCAGATTCATGTGAATTAAATGATTTCGAGTTCGGCTGAATGACAACATGATAATGAATTAACTAATTCATAGGCTAATGCATATTTGGTCTCACAAAATGTCAATTTTTATTCTCCTATTGTAAGATCATCAGTGCTTATCATGTATTTTAACTATCTCCTTATCTTTTTTTTTGCTGCAGAATTTATAGGCATGAGATTGGTAAGGTATCTACAAATGTGATTCTGTTGTTGCAACAGTTTATTTGAAATCAGTGCAGATTCATGTGAATTAAATGATTTCGAGTTCGGCTGAATGACAACATGATAATGAATTAACTAATTGATAGGCTAATGCACATTTGGTCTCAGAAAATGTCAATTTTTATTCTCCTATTGCATGATCATCAGTGCTTATCATGTATTTTAGCTATCTCCTTATCTTTTTTTTGCTGCAGAATTTATAGGCATGAGATCTGAAAGCTGGGCAACTCATCCCTTGGTTTTGGCTCGACATGCCCATTTCTATAAGGCTGCAGCAAGCCATGCCATTGATTGTTTCTATTTAATATTTTGTTCTCATGCACCTCCAAAAGGCAGTATATTTTTTTCAGCGGCGCTGATTTTTGTTCTCATGTCCTTTCTGCCTGTTGTGTTTTATTTTCTATCAATGTGGATCCAGCATGTTCTTTACTGCGTACTCTCTATTTGCTAGTTGTTTATTCTTAGTATAAAATTTAAAATGTATGGTTGGACCTTACTGGCTGTAATGGAGGTGATGTGCTTTATTGTATAACTTGTCTATTTTTTCCTACTTGATGAGGTGTCTGGACCATTTTATTTTACTTTTCAAGGGTTTAAGCTTAAGGCCTGATGTTCTTGGTTAAACTTATTGGCAGAGTTGACGTTTGATGTTTATTTTCTAATTTTTGATTAGAGGTAAAACTTTAGTGTCCCTAGAAAGAGACTGAAAATGCAACTTTAAAAACTGATTAACTTGAAGAGCCATTCATCATCAGCAACATAAAGCCTTATTTAACACATTTAAGGTTATTATATGTTCATTTAAACATTGCATATGCATACTTTAAAAATATCAAAATTTGACATTGATAAATTTAAGTTTTTTGAGATTTATGATAGACGCTCAGATTCTTCATTGTTGTTTCATTTCTACATTTGCATATGCATGCTTGAAAAATATCAAACTTTGACGTTGGTACAGTAGAGTGCTTCATATTTATGATAGACGCATGGGTACTTGAGTGTTGCTTCATGCAGGTAGTTTTACTTTTTAAATTTATTTGTAGTTTTAAGAAACAATTAGCGTGGGAATTCACTGAAGTGGTTCCGTATTAGCTGGAGTGCAACATCCATCCGGAGAAAGAAACAAGGGGAACAGATTGCATGCGAGATTACATTCCATCTTTTTCAAAAACTTGTCTTTTTCGTCTCTCTTTGGCATCCAGGGCAACTGCAGTGAGGCCATTTATTACCTCGTTCAACAGATCCTTAAATATCATCCTTTCAATCTCCACATCAAGCATTGGTAATTCACTCTTAAAGCTATCCCATCTTTGTAAATTCCAGATCAGATCTTTATGAATCATTGATTTATCATCCATGTTTCCATCTTTGCAGCTTCGAAGGCATTTGACTTCTGCGCAGAGTTCTTTATATCGATGCTTGATTTTGAAACTTCCGGAGTTGAGCATTTGTTCAAATGGACACCCAGAACTAGCGACATCTATTTCTTGAGCTAGAATCTGATTCATGGCATCTAAAGAAGGCTTTTGATGCAGCTTCTGTGGATTAGTATTCTGAACAAATTCAGATGGCTTGTAGCAGTTTTTTTGTTCGAGAATGGAAAGCAAGTCTGATTCTTTCTGCAGAAGGCCACGGAACTGGAATTTCTCAGCCATAATTATTCTATCATTATCTTGGTTTTCAGGAGCGAACATAGCATTGGCTATGTGAACTTCATTGAATGTTGTTCTTAGAACTCTGGAACCCTGAATGGCAGTATCCTTGCTTTCTGATATGGCAGAATCAGTTCTTGAGCTTTTAGTGAATGGAATGGTCGGAGGATAACACTCCATGGTGAAGTTACTAACTGAAGGTATATTCTGATACTCTGCTGAATGAAATGAAAACGTATTATGTGGGTAGATAATCTTGATGCCCATAAATCCTAACAGGTAATGATTCCAATCTATTTTGAACTGTGAGAATTAGTTTCTTGAAAATTAAATAATTAACAGAGAATTACCGCCATGGTACACATCAAAAGTAATTTTCTTATCACAGAATGAGTGGTTGTTTCAATTGCGTAAAAGAGAATTTCGGTTTGAAGGCTAACCTTTGAAGATTGTTGAGACTGATACGGGGGAATGAAGCAATCCATCCTGGTTTAGCAAGGCATCAAACTGAGAGTTGGGACATGACCTCCGAGAGGAAACTCGGTTGAACTCCTTAGTAGAAATATCTTTTAGTATCACCGGATGCTTCAAAATTAAAGGTAGATTGAGATTGAAAACAACAAGCAATAGTCCTTAAAAATTGTTAGTTGTATTTTGTTAAAAAATTGGGCCTGTTGGTTTGAATGGTTCAACAACGAATTGTTCCTCCGGCAAAGTTGGTCCAAAGTCTAAAAATGCTTTCACATGCAGTTGATCTGAATTGGTAGTTGGACCTATGAACCGGTCTGGTTTTAATGAACCTCTTTGTTCTACAATCTAGTTCTACAATCGATCAATTTGTTGCTTTTTGATTTTGACTAAAAATAAAATATTTTGATAAAGAATAGAAGAAATAATTAAAATATATGGATTTTCACATTCATAGAACTCAAAACATGATTTTATGTACGTCTCACCTAAACTCTTATATTTATGGACTAAGCATCTCAAACTCTTAAATAGGTGCATAAAATGCACTCCATCTTTCTCCACTATTTATGCCGTTGAGTATTCGTGCAAAAAGTCTGATGAAGCTAGTGGAACTCTGTTGGGGTTCTAAAATAGCTGGAAACGTGATATGATTCAAAACAAAAAACAACGAACAAATAACAAATAAATTACAATAGAGATTTGGGGAAACTCAAATGAGGGTTGATTTTACTTATAATAACAAAATAAAACCTGATACAACGTTTATCTAAGTCAAAACATAATACGAATCCTAATGAATTAACACTAATAAATACTCTAAAAAAATCATTGAAACTTTCCCCCACAAACTTCCTTTAATTTCCCTCCACTTGAACGTGATTAGCGGTTGTGGGGGCCTCACCCGAACTCTGAAATTGTCCTCATCACCTCCTAGGATTTCTGCCCCTGTAGATTGGGCCAGGCTGGTCGAAATCGGGCCTCTTTGGACCGACGACTTGTCTGGGTGGATTGTCCAATTGTAGGCTCTCTCACTTACAAAAGCAGACATCCTATACCCTGACACATCCGTTTCTACCACAAATGGTCTAATAATGTCGAGAAGTGCTATTACCAAAATTCTTGTCATGACACATCCGTTTTGAAGGCCTATGTTGTTGCTTCCTCCCCACTTGAAACTATCTTTCCATGCTATGGTGCCGGTCAAGAATTTTTGGTAGTATGCTGTGAGACCTATGAACCCTTTCAACTCCTTCAAACTCTTTGGTGAAGGCTAGTTCACCATACCCTCGATCTTGGATTGGTTTGCTACTACCCGCCTTGGTCACCACATGTCATGGGTACTCCACCTGTATTTGTGCAAATAAATATTTCTTCAAGTTGGCGTACAACTGATGCTCTCTTAATATCTCTAAGATCATCCTCAAGTGCCCCACATACTCTTTCTCTGTGAGATTGTGGATTAGAATATCGTGGAAGAAGATCATGATGAATTTTTAAGGCTATTGAATTCAATTCATGAGAGACTGAAACATGGCAGAAGTGTTGGTGTGACCAAACAACATTACCAAGAATCAATACTGTTCATCATGTGTCCTGAAAGCTATCATGTACACTTCAACTGGATTCATCCTGATTGGGTGGTATCTCAACTTTTGATCATTCTTCAAGAAATTGATTGCCCCATAAAGCCCATCCCCATCCCCATCCCCATCCCCATCCCCATCCCCATCCCATGCCCATCTTAATCCCAAAGCTCCCCCCTATCTATCAGCTCCAAACCTAGCTGATGCACAATCCAATTTGAATTGAAATTATGTGTGGCTCCACTATCCATCAACACCACAATCAGTTACTCCCGAATTGGTCCTCTCATCTTTATAGTGTGATTCAGAGTAAATCCCGCTACCGAATTGAGGGACACATTCGTTACATCCACGTGCAAATGCTCTTCTTTCTCCACTATTTTTTCCTACGAGTCCTCTCCGTCTCTTCCCCTTCACAAACTAAAAGGACCTGAAGCGCATGCTCCTTACAATGATGGACTGGGGTATATTTTTTATCACATTGGAATCATAATTCTTTCGATCTCTTATCTTGCACCTCCGCCTTATCGAGACGCTTGAAATTGCCTTAGGGACGGTCTCCATATTCCGCTCCCTTGGCGCCTCTTTCTAAAATGACACTGTTTGGGCCCCTTCGATGTGATGGTTGTCGAGGCACTCTTTTAGAACCCTCTGACGACATTGCCTTTGCTAATATTCTTCATCTGTTTCTTATTTTCCACAATCTGGGCGAGTTACATGATACTTATCAGTCCCCGTTGTCTCACTGGTTGGAGGGCTGCTCGAATGTCGGGTTTCAGGCCTTTCAAGAAGTTTCTCTTCAGTCCTGCTGCAGAAATACCTCTTAGCTACCCCGACTTAGCTTGAAGCTCTCTGTAACATGTGACAGACCCTTCCGAATGAAGTATAAAATTACTTGTGTAGGTCTCATTCCTTAATGTCGGGCTTCAAGTCTTTCAGGAAGTTCACCTCCATTCCTGC